GGATACGAAAGGGAGGGTACTTCGGCGAGCTTGCGCTTCTAACAAAACACCCACGGGCGGCCTCCGCCAGAGCAGTTGGACGTACTAAACTGGCAGTTTTGGACGTTGGCAGTTTCGAGCGGCTGCTTGGACCCTGCCTTGACATTCTTCAACGCAATATTGACGATTACGAAAATCAGCTGAAACGCGTGTTTGGAAGCCTTGACAACGTCCCAGAATTACGTCACTGAATCGCGATTCCGGACACCGACCTCAGCTGACAAGTATTTTATTTTCTCCATTTCTGGCTGACGATTTTTCATTCAACACTTCCATGTTGTAACTAGGTTCATCAGCGAATTTTCCAGAATCAGCAACAGTTCCCTTACTCTCACCCTCAGCCGCACACGCAAACGCTCAAAGCCGGCTGTTTTCTGGACACCCTGTGGGATGTTCTAACAAAGAAAAAAAACTGAGACATGCATTTTTCCCAGTGTTCCAGATAGCCTTGCTGTGGACGCACCACTAACACGCGAAGAAGCCTATAATTCACCATTTCTGAGCTTCTCCAGCAAAATAGGATTATCCACTTCTCTACTTTTACTTAGCCGTTGCATTCCGCGTCCTGTCGTCTTAAAATGGTTTCCTGAAATGGGCAGAATCATCCATCTGTCTCGCAGTTGTAGTGACATCGTTCAACCCACCCTTTCCACTTCGTCTCCTTCTCCTCCTTCTGCTTTACTTCCGCTCTTAAGAACTCGTTCCCTCCTCTTCCTCCCTCTTCTTCAGCAGGATGATGCGCGTCTGCAAGCCAAGACTGTTGTTTCTTCAAATGTTTGGAAAGGTATGTATTTGAATGAAGCGCGCATCACGCAACACACTTAGTTGACTAAGATTACCACGAACCAACTCCTTAACCTAACGTGGGCCCTGACGTTTGCAGATATTTTTACACCATCCTTCATTCAAGTCTTGAAATGCGTTTGTGTGGCTTTATTATGTGACCCAATATATTGACCTTTTTATGTTACTCCTTACCATGAGCTATGCACAGCTGGGGAATTGCAATTTATCATGCAGACTTTACTAAGGATGTCTCATAAACTTCCTCGCTTTAAGTGTCATTACTTACTTTCATCGAGAGCAGAAAAGGATTTTAGGCTGTTTTTTAACTTATAGTAGTTAATGCGCTCGATTGCATCTGAAAACTTGTAGATGGCGCAGTTTAAGCACCATCTACAAGTTATCTACAAGAATTTTAGGCTGTTTGTTTTAACTTATAGTAGTTAATGCGCCCGATTGCATCTGAAAACTTGTAGATGGCGCTTAAACTGATTGGGTATAATTTGTCAATTCCCCAGAAGTATAACTTTTGAACTCTACATACTATGGGCAAAACTCCACCACTAATAATATCAAGTGATCTTTGTAGTAGTTATTCATTTAATCGTAACTGCGTGGTAAAGGCCAAAACCGGAGTTGTCTCATTACTCACAACTTGTTTATCACTATGGCTATTTACTTTTTCTGTTATCAGTTTAGGTTTATCAATGGTGGCTGACCTACATAGTTGTCCTTAAAGTTATAAACAGTGTTCTTTATGGCATATGCGCGAGGACGTCATTGTCTTGTGTGGCATTGTTTGTTCAGACGAGAACTGCATACTGCATTGTTCTTGGGTCTGAAGTACAAAGGCAACTCGCTTTAAGCGGCTCAACTATGATTTTATGGAGCCTCAACGCCACAGCATTTTGTCACTTATCATCCTCGTTAGCGCACTTATCTGCCACGTGATATTGATTTTTTTGCTTAAATCGCTGACACGTATTGATTTACTTAATCCCAGATTTGCTCCAAAGCACGCATCAGTAAATGTGACTGAACTTCCACAATGCTCGAGTTAACTGGACGAGCTTTTGAGTTGCTCTTTCGGTGGACTTTACTG